TTGATGCTAATAAATCCTGGTTTTTCGCTTATCACTTGAAACACCTCTATTGTAAGCAGCAATAGTATTAACATAGAAGGAGAAAAAAACAAGAAAAAACACATTTTTATTTCAGTAATAGTTTTCGTGAGTTCATGTAGCATTAAAATTATAATTAGAAATGGTAAGTTAGTCATGCATTTAAAGTAGAGAATGTTAAAACTTTGTTTTTTCTTGTCTGAGTGTGTCATACTATACGGTTATTTCTGTGTATTTTAGTCCATCCATTACGTGGAAGTTCCATTGACATTTATCCAAATGCTCGATGGAAACAAAATGGTATCACTGTAGCTGGAGGAAGTGGACAAGGCAATGGAATCAATCAACTCTCATACCCATTGGGTTTGTATGTTGATGATGATCAAACAATCTATGTTGCTGATACATCGAAGCATCGTATTGTGGAATGGAAACAAGGTGCAACGAGTGGCCAAGTGGTTGCCGGTGGAAATGGACAAGGAAGTGGAGATCATCAATTGAATTACCCAGCAGATGTGATTATCGACAAAGAGAGAGATAGTCTCATCATATGCGATACTTCGAATGGAAGAGTGGTTCGATGGCCTCGTCGAAATGGGACAAGTGGAGAAACAATCATCTCCAACATCTCCAGTGTGGGTTTGACAATGGATGAGAATGGATCTCTCTATGTCACTGACTTTGGAAAACATGAAGTGAGACGATATCGAAGAGGAGAATCTCAAGGAACAGTGGTTGCAGGTGGCAATGGACGTGGAAATCGTCTCGATCAACTCTCTCGCCCACAATACGTATTCGTTGATCGAGATCATTCAGTGTACATATCTGATGAGGGAAATCATCGTGTGATGAAATGGATGGAAGGTGCAAAACAAGGCATTGTCGTGGCTGGTGGTCAAGGAGAAGGAAATGATCTTACACAATTGTCATATCCTGAAGGAGTCGTTGTCGATCAATTGGGCACTATCTATGTGACTGAACAAGGGAATGATCGAATCATGCGTTGGCCCAAAGGAGCCACACAAGGAAGTGTCATTGTTGGTGGAAACGGTAGTGGAGGACAATCCAACCAACTCAATGGACCCATGGGTTTGTCATTCGATAGACACGGGAATCTGTATGTCGTCGATTGGAGAAATTATCGAGTTCAAAAATTCAATATCGAATTCAATGGATAGACATAAACAGAAAGACTAAATATAGTATTTGCATGCTAACATATTATTCTCTACTTATAATTTAATCTTTATTAATAAATTTATCGCATGCTAATATATTTTAAGAGATCCCTTCAACTCTATTATCTGCAGCCTACCACCAAGGTCAGTTCAACCTCACCTCTATATCTCATCCGCCATGATTTGCGATAGATAAAAACTTGAAAGGTTAGGGAAAAGTATATTCCGTTCCAAAGCAGTATCCATATACATATAAATATAAACACGATAATTTGCGATAGAACAAAAAAATTGAAAAGTTAGGGAAAATATATAGCCATCGCCAGACATATACATATAAAACATCGACACCTTGTCACCTCGTTACATCTTCACTTCGTCAACTCCTCACTTCTTGACATCGTCACTTCGTTACTTCGCCACATCTTCACTTCGCTAGTTCGTTACTTCGTCACTTCGCCACTTCGCCACATCGTCACATCGTCACATCGTCACATCGTCACTTCGTCACATCGTGACATCGTCACTTCGTCACATCGTTACTTCATCACATCGTCACTTCGCTACTTCGTCACATCGCCACTTCGTCACATCGTCACATCGCCACTTCGTCACATCGTTTCTTCGTCACATCGTCACTTCGTTACTTCGTCACATCGTCTCTTCGTCACATCCTTACGTCGCGACATCGGCACATCGTCATGTCGTCATATCGTCGCATCGTCACATCGTCTCTTCGTCACATCGTTACTTCGTCACATCGTTAGTTCGTCACATCGTTACTTCGCCACATCCACAGTTCGTCACTTCGTCAGATCGGTACTTCGTCACATCGCCACATCGCTACATCGCGACATCATTACTTCGTCACACCGTCAGATCGGGTTTTGGTTGTTCCGTTGCCTATTTATTTGTTTGGATTTTGTCTGCCCTGTTAGTTGCAGTAATGGAAATTTCGCGTGGTCTATGATGTTTGGTTTGGTTGGTCGGCCTGAAGCAGTGAACGTTCACTTTTTGCTGTCCGGATTAGACATGTGCGGGACCAAGGTTTTTCAGTCCCGGTCCCGGTGTGGT